TTTATGCATTTAGTACAGGGTCTATAGGGTCTCACTGCAGATCAGACTTGTAGTGATCCTCCTGTTTTCGGCCTCCCAAGCACTGGCTTACAAGTGTGCGATACCATGCCCAGTCTTTATATATGTATTTTTAAAAGTGTGATTTCCCCCCCATCTTTTCCCTTCTTTATTTTTAATCACATACATCCATGAGCATATTTTTCTTCATGCTCATATACTTATTTATGCTTGTACAGATGTTTATAAAAATGAGATCTTATTTTATAAATCTTGTTTCTTAAATTAACACATGGTAATTTTTTGATAACTTTTGAGAGAATTACTGTAACAGCTAGATTTACTCTTCTAAACAGTAGTGCTCTCTTTCTTAAATTTTCCTATCTGATGCATGAAAGAGGCATTTCAGTTTAATCTGATTTCTTTGTTGTAACTGAGTTTGGTTCTGTTTTCCTTTGTTTGAGCCATCTGATTTTTTTTTTTTCTTTTTTCTTTTAAATTTTTTTTTTTTTTCTTGTATGACTTCTTCTGTTGTTTCTTGATCCTAGATTTTTTTTTTTTTTTTTCCCCAGAACCGGTGATTGGATTCAGGTCCTTGCATTTGCCAGGGAAGCGCTTAATCTACTGAGCCATCTGCCCAGCCAAGATCTTTTTTTTTTTTTTTTTTGCAGAACTGGGAATTGAACTCAGATTCTTGTGTTTGCCAGTCAAGTGCTTGTCCTACTTAGCCATCTCCCCGGCCCCCTGTTGTTTCTTTTTGGTTGTGTTTTCCTTATCACTGTGAATATTGCTTTATAATGTAGGTAGTAATTCTATGCTGTCTAAATTGCTTCAGCCTCTCATAGCGTTGGAATTACAAGCACGCGCCACTATGCCCAGCTGGAAGCTATCATTTTTAATTATATTTCTCTATTACAGGTTTTACTTTAATAACTTTAAAATCTTTTTTCAAAAATTCCTAACTTAGGCTGGGGAGATGGCTCAGTGGAATAAGCGCTTCCCTGGCAAGCGCCAGGGTCTTAAGTTCAATCCTGGTTCTGCCCCCCCAAAAAAATCCTAACTTGATAGTGATTTCTGCAGTTCCTTTCTTTCTTTTCTTTAATAATTGAATGTGGTCATCCATCTTTTCACCTTTTCTTACACTTATTTACATCTTTCATGTTTCTCAGTTGTAGGGCCTGTTTCTTTTGATTACTTTTAATGTTTTTACTCTAGCTTTCTGTTAATTTTTATGAAGGATAAAATGCAATAGACCTGGCTTTCGAACTTTAAAGCAGTAGCCTTCTTTTTTAAATGAAATCTTACATGGATACTGTATTGGTCGGGATTCTCGAGAGGACAGAATCAGTACTATATTATGACAGGGCATTTATTAGATTGCCTTATAGGTTCGGGGCCAGTTGTACAATGGCTGCCTGTGTGCTATCAGGCCAGAGGATTCAGTAGCTTCTCAATTTAAGGAGCTAGAAATTCCTGAGTCAAAATAACCAATGTTTTAGCACTAGTCTAAGGCTGAAGTCCTGAGAGCTGCCTGGAGTGTTGCTTGTGTAAGTCCAGGTTACAGCTGAAGAAGCTGGAGTCTGATATCTGTAAGCCATGGCAGCAGCGAAAAATGGATCCATTTAAGTGGAGGCTGTTTGCAGGCAATGGCTGACTTCTTCCTCCTTCCACTGGGTTGCTTCCTAGTCCCACCCTGCTGGACCATGCTGCTTGCTCATAGGTAGGTGTTCCCTGCTCAGTTGGATGGCCCACATGCCAGTCATCTCTGGAACCATCCTCATAGACATTCCCACAGCCCCCAAATGAGTGCTTTACTAATCTAGGGATCTCAGTCCAATCAAGTTGATACTCAAATTTTCAGACACTCTATGGTGAAACAATTTCCTTGATGTTGTAATTCTAAAAATATAGTTTAAAAAGCCACTGTGATAAAATTTTTAGGGAATTACATAAATAAGTACAAATATGGGCTGCTGCCAAAATTAAACTTCAGATGTGTGGATATTATCATATAATCTCAAAATGTTTATTACTAATATGCGAGTACCAAATTTAGCAAAGCAAATACATTGAAAGACATCCATACTAAAGTAGTATTTGGATAGGCGAGGAATGTGGAGAATTATGTCTTTAGTCAATTACCAGATTGTCTTACAACCCAGTTCTGTTCCACAGTAGTCCATCCATATGGGTGGAAACAGGTTCCAAGAACTCCAGTGGGAATCTGAAACCACTACTTTTACCAAACCCTCTGTGCACTATATTTTTGTCTTGCACATACATAGTAATGATGCTGTGAGACCATTATTAAGTAATATAAGTTTGTATATTATAGAAGTTGCTTTGATGACTAAGATGGCTGCTAAGTAACAGTGAGTAGCAGGAACATCGTAGATACTAAAGCCAAGGAGTGATTGACAGCTTGGCCTGTCCGCCTAGAGTGAGGTGGTGGGAAATGTTGTCGTGTTACTTAGAACAGCATGCAGTTTTAAACTTACGTATTGTTTAACTGAAATTTTGCATTTGTTTCTGGACCACCAGTTAACTTAAGCCACGGAAAAGGAGGGACCACTGTATGAGGACCTCAGAAATGGAAATAATCTCTACTAATTGGCTGTTGTGTTAATACGGGTTTCAGAGAGTAGTTGGGACTTAAGATAATTTGACTGAATTGATTTTTTTTTTTTTTTTTCTGTTTTGGTTTTCTCATATAAGTGAACTCGTGATATTTAAGCTTGTGTTTGATTGAATTGATTTGATTTTTGCCTTTTCTTTCTCTTCGTTGTAGTAAATATGGAAATAAACTGAAATGCCCAGAGAACATGTTGAGGGAAAACTAGACCTGAATTTCCTACCCAACATTTCCCAAGCTTTTATCTTAGGAGCCTTTATACTTTTAAGAAATTGAAGATCTTGGAACTGTTGAGATAGCTCAGCAGTCTAAAACACCGTAGGCAAGCTTAGGCAGGTGTAGGGGAACTTGGTTCAATTCCAGGCACCACAAGCTGCTCCACCCCCACCCTCAGGGCAGGCTGAGCTGACCAAAAAAAAAAAAAAAGAAAAAGAAATAGAAGGTCTTCAAAGATGCTTTTGTTTATGTGGGATGTATCTTATGGATATTTACTAATTTAAAAGTTAAAGCATAGTTTTTAAAAGCTTATTTTAAAATACTGATAGTATGTTTATTGTATACTTATGTGAATGTTTTAATTAATTATTTTTTGTACTGGGGATCAAAGGACTTTGTGCTTGAGGCAGGTGCTTATGCTGCTGAGCTATCTCCCCTGCCCCAATATTTTGTTTTAAAAATACTTAGAAGAATGGCATTGTTTTATGTTTTACAAAGCTCTCTAGTGTCTGCCTAACTAGAAATTGGCTAGATTCAAATACCTGCTTCTGCATTCCCTTTGTTACAGTAACCACAGGTTATATAGGCTCAGGAAAACTCAGATAATGAGAGCAAAGAAGACAGAAACTATCTGTGTGTGATAATGAAGTGAAAATGGTTGTGGCCTCAGGAAACCCCAAAAAGGCATCAGTTCCCCTTTTGCACCACTTCACTTGCCCAGCTACTGATGTACTTCATTTTGTTCATGGCGCTGGGGGTGAAGCCTAGGCCTTGGCACATGGTAGACAGTAATCATTCATATCTACATATCTATATGTTATTCATATGTATTAATTCGCTCATATATATTCATCTATCTGTCTTACATTCATGAGCTGTATGATCTCTGATATGTGGTACATTTTCCATCAACTCTTTCTTTGCTTTGTTGCAGAGTCATTTGGGCAGAACTATCCAGAGGTAAGAGTATAGTTCTCTCCTGATTTGAAGGATGTGATAACTATGTAGTAATGATGTTTGGTAACAAAGAAACATTAGATATTTGCAGTGGAATCAGATGTTTAATTTCGGTAGGGGATAAGTGATATTGGCTAGAAAACTTACAATAAAGCTGTAAATCTTACAGTTCACTTTCTTTATATTAAAAACAAAAACATTAATTGAAGGGTTTTTTGCACATGGTCAAATCACCTATACATGGATTTGTGTGTGTGCTTTCCAGGTTTTCATCAGTTTTTTTACATAAAATAATTTGTGTAAGTATGCTTTATAACACTTGAATATGCTTTACTACAGTCATTGTGGTTATTTTAAATGACTTAATACTGATATAAAAATTTTATTTCTCTATATAGGCTGTTCTTTGTTTTTCTATTATATTCTTTTTTTTTTTTTTAGTACTGAGAATTGAACTCACAACCTTGAACTTGCCAGACAGGTGCTGTCCCACTGAACTATATCCCTTGCCCTTTATTATTATGGTCTTTTAAGGGATAAATTCCCAGAACTATATTTCCTAGTCTTATATATCTGACTTTTTTTTTTTTTTTTTTGTATTTTAGTAAGGGTCTCCAGGGTCTCACTGTGTAGATCGGACTGGTACTGATTTTCCTGTTTTCAGCCTCCCAAAGAGCTGGGATTACAGGCGCGTGCTACCATGTCCACTCTCAATTGGTGTCTCAGTATGCCCCAGGGGCAGGGCCGGCATGGCACACTGGGGATTGAACCCCTGCCGTTACATGTGCCTAAGCATCTACCTTTAATCCACTGAGCTATTTGGCTGATCCTCTGTATATATGACTTTTTAAGTGACTTTTGTTGTATATTGTCCACTTGACCTCCAGAAGATTTGTAGGATTGAAAGTGATAATTCAAGGGGTTGACCACATCTGTTTCCAAAATTCTTTAGTTTTTATTAATGTCTTAATTTTGGCTAACTTAAAAGGTATAAGAAGACATGTAGATGTTATTTTGGAATGCATTTTAATTTAGATTAAAGAAAAATGTCATAAATGATAGAAACTTTTAAGAAATAATTTAGATACCTGGCCATTGTTGTCTGTATTTCTTTGTTTCTTTTACCTTTTAGGAAGCTGATGGCACTTTGGATTGCATCAGTATGGCCCTGACTTGCACCTTTAACAGGTGGGGCACACTGCTTGCGGTTGGCTGTAATGATGGCAGAATAGTCATCTGGGATTTTTTGACAAGAGGCATTGCTAAAATAATTAGTGCACATATACATCCAGTCTGTTCTTTATGGTAAGAAAGTTTTGCTTTTATTCTATTTTGTGTTTTTCCAGTGCTAGGAATTAGAACCCAGGGCCTTGTGCATCCTAGACAAAGCCCTGTATTATTGTACCATACCTTCAATCTCAGGAGTTTTAAATTTAACATATTAAAATGAGTTAAGATAGAAGAATTAATATGTACTGTATATTTGCTAATCTCCATGTAGATACTTGAATATTTGAAGTCTTAAATATTCAACTGTTAGTAATAGAATTTGTCATAGTTTATGTAGACCTGCAGCCCATTATATCCTTGAAGTACCTTGAGGAGAGAATTCATTGCCATATTGGATTCCTGTCAGGCTTTGCCTGGGGCCATTTCAATACTGAATGTTTGCAGGTTGCAGCTCGCAGCTCTAGCATGATTGTGCTATTGACCTTTCATTTAGAATAAAGTCTAGATTAGGAGAGAAGCTTGGCAGGCATCTAGTTCCACCTTGTCTAAGTTCTTGAATTCCAGCAACTTTAGCAATCACAAGCATGCTTATTTCTTCATTGAAATATAGTTAATAAGGCTTTCAGTCAAATACAGGGAACGGAAGTCTGCTGTTGCATAAATTCCTGTTGATTTCACTCACTCTCTGTAACTGTTTACTTCAAGAATTTTTTTTTCCTGTATTTTTTAGGGGAAGGTCTACAAGGTGTTCAGGGTCTCATTACTAGATTGGACTCATAGTAATTCTTCTGTTTATAGTCTTCCAAGTGCTGGGATTACAGGTGCATGTCACCATGCCCAGTCTTAATTGCCATCTCAGCATGCTCTGGGGTCAGGGCTGGCACGGCAGGCCCGGGATAGAACCCTTGGCCCCTGCACCTACTTGCAGGCACTTTAATCTGCTGAGCTATGTGGACGGCGCATACTTCAAGAATTTTATGTAGAGACAGGATTTGTTTTTTTGAAATGAACTTGAGGGCATAAAATAGCATTTTAAAGATCAACGTTAATTAAATCATAACTTTTCTGTTGTCTGCATAAAAGCAGAAGTGATAGTACAAGGGTTGGAGAGAGGAAGGTTGGATGTCAGTGTACTTTTGCCCACTAATGAATGGGTGGACTACGCACAAACATCTTTGATGTACAGAATGGGAGCACTAGTTTGGGTGATCTCTTAGGTCCTTTCCAGGCATAAGCATTTTTTTTCTGTTTTGAGACAGGGTCTCGCTGTGTAATCCAGTCGGGTCTTGAACTCAGCAATCCTTCTGCCTCAGCAAGTGCTGGGATTATAGGCATGTGCCATCATGTCCAGTCCTAATTGATTTTTTTTTAATTTTTTTTTTTAAATTTTGTGTGTGTGTGTGTGTGTGTGTGTGTGTGTGGCCAGCTCAGCCCACCAGGGGACGGGGCTGGCTGGCATGTGGTGCTGGGGGATTGAACCGTGGTCTCTGTGCTTTAGCTTAGCTTGTTCTAGGTAGGTGCTTTAGACCACTGAGCCATCTCACCAGCCCCCTAATTGATTTTTAAAATTAACAACAATGACCCATCTGTCCTGGAAAGAGACAGAACTTTCAAAAGAAAGAAAGGCTGAGACAGGAGGATCACTATGAGTCACTAATTTTTAAGTGTATTGAATTTGAAATTGCAGATCTTATTTTATTTTTGTGCTCAGGACTGAGCCCATGGTAGTTACGTGCTCTACCATCAGACTATACTCTTAGCCGATTATTATTATTATTATTATTTTAAATATTTATGTGTGTGTGTGTGTGTGTGTGTGTGTGGCCAGCTCAGCCCACCAGGGGGCGGGGCTGGCTGGCATGTGGTGCTGGGGGATTGAACCGTGGTCCCTTGTGCTTTGCTAAGCTTGTTTTTTAAGTAGGTGCTTTAGACTACTGAGCCATCTCACCAGCCCCAATTATTATTTTTTAAAATGGGAAATTTCTGTTTTTGATTTTTAGTAATTTAATTGTAATGGTTAGAGTCCCCTCTATTATTACAGAAATACAAGATTACTGTGAAAGAAAAAAAGGGCTGCAATGAATAAGGGCTTAAAGGGAAAATGGCACTGCACGCTGTTCTGTAGTCACACTGTGCTTGCAAGGCCTACAGGGAAAACCATAGCAACTGTCCTTTGTTTCTGGCTTACTGAATCTTTATTTTGTTTGCCTCCACTGCCTTCTGATTCATCTGTATCAGTTACTGTATTTTTCAGTTGTAGAATGACCTTTTGGTTTTCTGTGCTTGGTTTGCAGAGACCGCTGGGTAGGATTGGAAGTGCAGGCTATTCCCTAGGTTTCTGCAGATGGTGCCCTGTCTGGAAGGACGCAGATGCCTTGTTCCATGCCCCCTGTGGCCCTGTGATACAGGGCTGGGGGACCTCATCCCTGCTGGTGGTAGTGAAGGTCAAGACCTCCATTCTGCCATCGCTGACAGCATCTAGCAAGGGAATGAGGGTACCCTTTTTAGTTGGATGAGGGCAGAAGTGTAGGCTGTCTGTTCAGGTCTTGCTGACTTGAGAAGGATTTTTCTGTGATTTTTGGCTGGCATACAATGATTTTCTCTAAAATGTTTTCTGCCTCACTGGCTGTCTTTCAGCAAGAGGAAACAGTATTGGGGGGGGGGGGTTGGAACTGGAGGCTCTGTGTGTGCCTGTTGGCTTCCTTTGCCAAGCCCAGGCCTTGTGAGGCCAAAAGAACCCACAGAAAATTTACCTTGTGTCATGCCTCAGGTTCTGCAGCCTGGCTGGCCTGTCTTTCTCTACCTTTCAGAGTCCTTTTGTGTTTGTTTTATTTATTATTTTTTT